GCAATAGGCTACTTGCTGTACCATAAAAATCACTCGTAAGAGAAGTTCACAGAAACATGCCTCTCTCATTACTCTTCAATACACACATAAAAATATTGTTTAATTGTTTTCTTGTTCAAGTGTAAGAAAAACTCAAAGTGTAGCACACAGGGATGCCACCAAATCAAATAACATTTTGCACACAAATCCCAAGTGAAAATACACTTGAAGTGATATACTTGGGACCTTCCTTATGCATAAACCTGGGCTCACTGCATTTATTATCACGGTTATAATCTGTGTAGTTTTCCCACTTGTTCTTCCAAAATATAGTGGGCAAACTTTACTAATATAACCAACTGGAGGTCTTATTTTTCTTTCCCATTCAAATCTTGTACCCTGTTCAATAGGTATTCTGAATGCCTAAATACCACTGAATCAGGTCCTTGATTAGTTTTTTATTTATATCACAAAGACCACAAGATTCAGAGGTTGCCAAGGCAACACCTGTTCACCCTCCATACATTTATGCTTTGATATGAAACCTCTCATTATATAAATGTATGACAACACCAGTCAGCATGACAGGCTGGTTTACAAATATGCCTTCACATAACAAGACAGCTGTAGCCTTCTCTTTAAGTAGGAGGGAAAGGTAGGAATAAGGTTACCTTTTACTAAGGGGGAGGGAGGAGGGGCAAAAATGGCATTCCAAGCTATACAGGATTTAGTATGACATTGTATCCTGAGCCTTCTATTACAGCCAATAAATTTTGTAATACATGGGCAAAAATCCTCAAAAGGGCAGGAAGGAAACAAAACAAAAAACATCAACCACACCACACAAGTAGAGTCTAAGACTGAGATGCTGGAATCTTAAGTAACTGAAACTAACGACTGTATATAAAAGCTTTACTGAACCACTGGAAATCTGATACTCCAGCATATGTTTTTTAGAACTACAGACAAGGCAAAGTTTAGTAAATCACAAAAGACTTACTAGAAGCCTACTGACACTTTTGAACCCTGATCTTGAGGTACTTAGCAATATACAACTAGCCTTCTTTACTGAGCAGTATTCAATACATAGTACTCTACCTATGGTTATGCTCCAGGATCCTTTATAGTTTTTCCTCTTGTTCTTCCAAAATATAGAGGGCAAACTTTACTGATATAACCAATCGGAGGTCTTGTTTTTCCTTCCCATTCAAACCTTGGTCAATAGGTATTGTAGAGGTATTGTACCCTGGGGTCCAGGCTACTGCAGGAGGAGGGATCTGTTAAAGATGGTTACTTCTGTGTCTCCTAGACCCACTGAGTTTGAGCAGCCTACAAACTGATCCAGAATACACAAGACACGGCTGGCTGCCTGGGTTAGCAACAGGATGGCAATAGGACAGTTCCAGATGTACACCTCCAAATTCTTCCTTGTGCCCTAGCACCCTCTGTGCTGCCAGGAGGCTTTCCAGAGACAGTTTTTCTAACAATCAGCTAATTCTACATCATCTGCAGACACTTCAGCATAAGCTGAGAAAGCTGACTTTTTTAAAGAGAAGATTGTTACAAGAAAGAACACGCATGGATACTTACAGGTATGGAAGAAATATGAAAATCAGAATGCACTTTTTCACTTCTTCCCTCACTTCCATTTCTGGCTTGTAATTTCCAGTTCCACTTTTCTCACTGTGACCCTGTGACACACTGACCATCCTCAGCAGTAAACAAAGTAAATCCTACAGTGTCACCAGAGGAAGAGGAGCGAAACTCCCACTGGGGGGCGCATACAGCACTAGCAAAGCCATCGCTCCTTCATCCCGTCAGTTGTGCCAGTTCTAGGTCATGAGACAGCCGCCCCCAGACCGCAATGACAAAATAACACCACTTACAGATATTTCTAGTTGGATCTAACAGCAGCTCCTCAATTACCTCAGAGAGCCCGTTTGTACAGTTTCTACAAGAAGAAATCCCTCCTCGCTTGTGAGGACTGGCACTGAAAAACACCTTACATGGTCAGATCATTTATGGGTTACTGCATCCAAAGCCTTGCTGTACTATTTATAGAACTAGTTTCACTAAACAGCCACATCCTGCTGTAATCTCAAAAGGTCAAAGTGGTACCATAGTGTGGATGTGCAGAGAATTCCCAGGTTTACTGGGTAACAGAGCAACATACTATTTATGTTGTTCTTTACTCCCCCCCCCCCCCCCCATGTTAATTGGCTCTCCATAAAGTGTTCAGGTGATAAGTCAAATAACCAGCTAGTGGCTGTTCCAAATCCTTCAGGTCCCTCTTTCCTACCACCTTTCTGTTTTGAATGTAGGAGACTCTGAAGAGTGAAAATTGTACACCTAAAGTTCAAGGCCAGGCCACAGAATTCAACATAAACAGCCCACGGGAGGTGGGGGGGAAGACACTTTTTATGTAGGATAGCTGACATCAGAATTAGGTATCATGCCGTGACCCACTCAGTCCTGACACATTTGCACATGAAGTGGGCATGGAAACTGGAGAAGAGCCAGTACAGCAGAAAACCTTCAGGGTTATTTTGCATAGGACTATGCAAATTCTTCATGAAGCTGAGGAGTTGAAATCAGAACAATTTGCTTATCAACTTTCACCAGCACTAAAACTCATAACCAACCTTAGAAGACAGCATGTTATCCTGCACAATATTGCTGAATGAGTAGTTGAGTAAAATCAATTACTTGCTGTAGGGATTTTCAAGACGTGTATTTCCCTAAGTATTGTCAAATATGCAGGTCAACAAAAAGGAAGATTGATTTCTGGATAAACAGAATAACTGTGACATTAAAATGTGGTGTGAAAAGACAAATTGTGAATAGCTCATTTTAGTGAAATGAAGGGAATATTCAGGAAATGCTTGCAATCAAGAAACTCACACCCCCATCTGTCCATCAATGGCATCATGTAACAACCTCTCCAGCCTTAATCCTTGTATCATTTACACCTTGCTGATGAGGATGCATTCCCTCTTGTACAGTAATCTATCTGTATTGATTAATGTAATATAAAGCCTACGTTCTTTGCATCAGCAATGTTATAACAAATTGATGTTAGCTGGAAAAGTCAAGTCAGTCTTATTTTTTGTGACCCAGTGCTGCCATCTCATCTGCTCATTGATATATCTTTTGCCCCAAATTGGTCCTCAACATCCAAAAAGCAAGGTAAAGCCCAGACCTATCCCTGTAGAGAGTCAGGAAGGTGAAATAACATGTTTTAGTTGCAAAACAGGCTCACTTCTGCAGTGTCAAACTACTTCCCAGCAGTGTCTAAAATAACACAACTAACAATCATCATTTGTTGTTTCCCCTGGGAGAGAAATTTGTGCCATTCAGTGCCTTGCTCTGCTAGGGAGTTTTGGTCTGTTTCATGGCAGATTTTTTTTTTCCCAGGCTTTTGTGAGGAAGAGTGAAATAGTTATATTTTAGGATTTGAGGTTTCTCCGTGTTTCATCAAAGGAGATAAAAGAATCAAGAAAATGTCACCTTGCCCACAAAAAGAGTGGTTGAGATCTGCAGCAGTGTTCAGTCCTTCAGAGACATTGCACCCAAGTTTCTTTCCCTCTAAGTTCTCCTGGCTAGGAAATCTGCATTTCCAGCATCAGTCTACCTATATTAGTACATAAAATAAAGCCAGGCATCTATTGCCTACCCTGACTGGAAGAACCATAGAGCAATAGAGCAAAGAACCAGTAAGTTACACTTAATAAGCTACTCAAATATACATGCTCAAAGCCATTTGTCATGCTTCATCCATTCCCTCTTCAGTCCCCTCTGTAGCATACATAAATCAAACAGTGACTGTTGCAGCACTATGTCTTCTATGCTTTCCCATTGCTGCTTTCCAAATCCACACTCCTCCATGGGCGGAGGAGCTGTTATACAGCTCTGTGTGTGTGTGTATACATACAAACATACATTCATACACAGGCCTTCCACTCTAAAATGAGGAAGGGAAGCCCCATACGAAAGGATCGTAACCCGTCCATGCTTTGCAAAAGCATGGTAAATACAAAGCCCTTGCATCCACACTACAGCTGTGCACGGCTTTGTACTACCAAAGTATACTCTCCAAAACAATACAGACAGGGTTAAGGAAGACCTCTCCCTTAAAGACACCAGCCTCTAGCATAAATTGAAAGCAATTCCAGTGGAAGCTGCTGAGAGCAGATGTTATAGGAAGCATGCATGTATATATAGTATGTATAGCTTGTATGCATAGTAGGCACACCATATGCAAGCATGCATATGGTATACACATCTATGTTCTAGTATAAATTTCTAGTAGCAAATTCTAGGAAAAAATAAATGCAGAACACCAAAGCTCTTCCAGAGATAAGCAAACTATGAATTAAATGCAATTCCTCACAGAATAGCTTATTCAGTAAAACATAATACCACAATGTCTAGTGGCTTCTTAATTAAGTCTTAACTAACGAGTTCCCCAGTAGTAACTTCACAATTTTACTGCTGCGTTTTTTCAAGATGTTCATGATTTCCTATCAGGGTGGTAAAGAGTTACCAAAACACTCATTAGTGAAGTCTTTCCCACTGTATTTTCCCATTGTATTCCTATTGTCATTTATGTTTAACATCAGAAATATATTCTTAAGCACTTCCTCGCTTGCATTATCATAGATTATCATGGATAATGCAAGCCAAGTTCCAAGGACAGCGCTAAGTATATGAAACAGGTAATGAATAATCTGTCTAGACAAGAGATGCAGATACAATGCTGTTTCTCTTCTCTCAGTTCTGCCAGCTGCTAACAGCTTTGAAGTGAGCTGAATACTTGTTAATGCCTACACCTCTTACATTAAGAAAAAAATAATTAGCTTTTTCTAAGTGGAGAAAAAACTTCAATCCTACCAACATCTATTTAAGGATTAAATCCCTGTTCTACTGATAGGTTATAAAAGTGAGCAAAGCCAAAGGCTATTTCACATACTTATCTGGCACACAGATAAATTAGTAAGTCTCAGGTAACACATGACACTCACCTGGTGCAGCTTTTGCCAAAACTCAGGTCCATCCTCCATTTCTCTTAAGCTTGGTGGAATGTACCAAAAGCAGACGTTTGCAAACTCCGGCTAAACAAGAGAACAAATGATTGCTTATAAGATGTAACAAATGGGACAAGGATACATATTACAGCTTGTCAAAGAGTTATGCTTTATTTTTTGGGGGTGAGGGGGAGGGAAGCCTTTGAGTTTATACCCTTTTTTTATTAAAACTTCCTTCTACGACTCACCTTTTGTATCCCTTTTTTGAAACTAGAAATAGTTTTCATACCATCCATTTCTGTTCCTGCTGCCAGAAAAAGGAAACCTGTTGGGGTTTTAATTTCATCTTCCTACATCCATATTTAACTCTGTTTTGCTCACAAAAAAATTTTGGTTTGGAAAAGTGTAACAGAGGCATAAAAGGGTAAGTTATAGAATTCAAATTTTAAGCAACCTTTAAGAATACATTTTCTTTTTAGTGTTTTGGGCTTTTTTGATGGAAATTTCCTATGATGTCTTTTACATAAAACACACAAGCTTAATTTTTGTCACCATTTAACGCTTGCACATCTAGTCATTTTTCTATTGAACAACGCCAATCTCCTTTTATATCACAGAGCACACTATACAGTGCTAGACAATGGTTTTCTCTATTTCTACATTTTATAAGAATCTCAGGATCCTTTGCAGGGTATGTGCCATATCCTGAATGTATCTTGTCCAATATCTAAGCAGGTGTTTTGACAAAGGCCGAGATTCCACATTTCAGTTTCCCTCTAGAGAAGTTTTGCCTTTAAACTCAGCAGAGTTATCTGCAAGGCTCACAACAAAAGCATCTCTTCACCACGCATTATAAAATAAGGCATTTTCTGCTTATGAGGTTTCTGTGTCATATATGATAGAGAACACATTCCCAGCAGACTAGTCTGGGATCTCTATACATTTCCTGCTAATTTGGAACAATTTTTATTTTATTTGTACAGAGAGCAATAGCATGAGGAACAGATATGCCTTCTAATCCCATTCAACACAACTCATAAAACCACTACAACAATCTTGACCTACGCTATTTGCAACACAGCATTCAACTGGCATCTAAATTATAATATGGATTATGATCTCACACACCCCTCTCCTCTCCCACATGCATTCTCACTGGTACTAGTTGAAAGAAAAAAAAAAAGTTAAAAGAGGGCTTGGTAGCTGAGTCACACCATCTCTTTAGCCCACTGTGAATGTGGTTGCTATTATAATCCCAGGCAGTCTCCTGAACGAGGAGAGCCCACCAGCTGAGACATGTTCTTTCATGAAAGGGCACTGAGAGCTGCTCATATCATTTTCCGCTTCACTTCAAAGAATGCATTAAATACAATTTAATCATCAAGAAGAATATCATTGTCAGCAGGAACAGAGCTGCAAACCTGCCGTGTGTTGCCACTGAAAAGTCTCTTTTCTTTCCCCAAAGAGCATGCATTGACTACACACATAAACACAGACACTGAAAAGGCAGTGCCTTCCTCAGAAGCACAAGCACTAGCTCGCTGTTACACGGTTTATTTTAAAACTATTTAAAATCAGATGGCAGGAGTAGACAGATGGCATATATTACCATATTGCCATCGCCTATGTTGCTTTCTTGATTATCTCTGTTTCCTTTCACACATCAAATATATCACCCCCCTCTGAAAATACCATTCATCCTAAAAAACTACCCCCAGCCATGCTTCACACTCTATTTCTAGTTATGTTGTCACAGCTCTTATCCAAGCAGGTAAGCACCTACACACAAAAGAGTTCAAGATGACTCAAGCACAAGTGCATTTCCAGGCCATAGAGGATCATCTTTCTAAGCTTTTTGTCTGAAGCCCAACTTACTTTCAGGAAAAGGGCTCACATAACTGGGCCTAGCTGCCTGACAGCAGTCTTTCTTTGAATTCTCATTACTTGTCCCTCTGCACTCCTGAAAACTTTTTCTTAATCCTTGCTCAACTTCCTTCTCAGGAAGTGCTATAGTCCATCCTACAGCACTCCCTTCAATCTCACTTTTAATCCAGATGTCCCATTTCTGCAGGAACTAAACAGCAGCCTCTTTTCTCAACAGCTTTCACATCTGGGTATTCTACAACAGCAAAAAATGCACAGCTTTTTACAGACTTGCCACTTTACTGACCTCATCATGTGCTGCTGGCCTAAAATTCTTCAGTCAATTAGCAGTGTTCAAAGTTAAAGAGAAAATTTGCATTGTATGAATAGGGTAAAATATTTTTTATATTTTGTATTTCATCTATCCTAACAGGGAATATAACGCTTGTTATGTGTGCTCAGTCATATCTGTGGATACACACACTTATTAAATTATATACTTCAAATACATATTGGTATTTGACTAAAGAGAGCAAAAATCAAACAATAGACACTCCCCACCAATAAGAACAGCAGTTCAGTTCCCTGTTCACTTACCTCCAAAAGAAGCTGAAATCCCTCTCTTTTTTTAATTTCCTCCACTAGATATCTGTAATTAAAAATGCAGGGGTTTGAAGCATAGAACAAAACAATACAAACAGAAAACAATAACAAAAGGTCTTTAACGTGTGGGTTTTTTTCCTTTTTCTTTTTTTCACACTAAAGAAACTACAGAGTTAAACCTCATTTCCACCTGCTGTGAAAATGCAATAGCTATCAGTTCCTGGAAACAAATGAAGGTTACAGCCAGCCAAGGAGCAGTTGAGAAGAAGTCAAAATCTGTCCTCAGGCACAGATTTTCAATGAAGCCACACAGCACAAATTGATCCTATTTGCATTAGGTTGTGAACTTTCCCAATGCAAATTTCCATTGATGTTGCTCTTTACAAATTAATCCCTCCATCTCTTGTTCTCAAGCGTTGATGCTGTGTTGCAACGTTATTTCGTAGTCACCCTGACACCTGTTGCATTACTACTATCACCAGAACCTCTTAGTTTAGCCCAGAATTTAAAAATTTGAGCTTACTTGAAGCCCAACAATTTTCCCAGTACTGCCCTTGTTCCACACTGTACACAACAGTGTACATTTCCATTCAGCGAGCCACTGCTTATGCACAATAATCCCTGGACATCCTATGCTAACATACTGAGATGAGAATTTCTTTTCTCTCTCCCCTGACAAGCATGAAAAACCCAGAAGTCTTCAATGGAAAGATGGGTTTGAATCAAAACTTCAGACACAGCTTCAGTTTATAGAATTTTTTTAAAACATGACCTCAACTTTGCCATGGCACAATCACACAGGAATTCTGAAGCAAAGAGGACACAGCTGGGACTTCTCTCTTTATTCTCCTCCCCTCAAAGCCTCCCAAAGAAAAACTCCAAAGAATTCACCTCAAATTCACACAGCTTTTCCACGTCAACAGAATTTTAGTCTTCTATACGAAAATTTTGCTGTCTAACAGGAAGAAACTGACACAGTTTAACTACTGATTTTGCACAAATCTGTTCTTTGTATTTACTATTTGGCATTTTCCTGCCTGCAGCTACATTACTGGTCATCACTAGTAATTCTTTTATCCACTACTTGAAGAAAAAAAATATTGCCAAAATAACCCAGTGGTCCTATCCACGTGCCTGAAACTTGCCCCCACAGGGACACCTCTAGCCCAGTTGTATCTGCAATGCCTGCTATTTGGCAGACGTGCTGCAGGAACAGGTTGGCTAGGGAAGCAATAAACAATACCCTAGATGGCACATGTTTTTCAAAGCTGTGCATAGGGAGTTGTCACACTGTTTGTCATTAACAAGTGCTGTGCCTGTGACTCATTACTTCAGCACACACTCCAGCAAAGCAATCGCTGTGGTGGAGTGCCAGTTCCCACAGCACGCAGGCCTAGGAGTTGTGGTGTGCACTGTTGAGATGTTCCCTCTCACCGTAACAAATCAGCTTTCTGCGTTGTTTCTGTCATGACCATTTAGATCCCACTGTATGCAGCTGTTTGTTATCCAGCTGTTAACGCCCAGGCTACCACATAGGTTGAAAGAGAAGCATGATGAAAGGCAAGTAGAAGGGTAGACATCATGTGAGCATGTTGGGGGGCACCTGTTTCTGTTGGGTAAATGTCTTAGGTAAAACAAGTTTGGTGCTTTTGTCCTGTTTATTAGAAGATACTTGTCTGTGCCATAAAACCAATATTCAGCAACATCAGCTTGCTATTCATAATTTATTTTTTCTTTAATAAATCACAAAAGGGAAATCTATGCATGATCACTTTATTTTTTTTGACGTCTTGAATTGTTAGAGCTATTTCACAATGCTTGATACCTTTCCCTCCTGCCACAAGTGCCTTTTTTTTTATACCACCATCTGACATAGGCTATCTGATGTCGGTCAAGTTCACAACACTGTTAATCATGTTCTTAACTACACTGCCAATAGCCTAAGAAGGCAGCCATTAGAAAAATCCATCGCCCATGATTTATCTTGCCAGGATCATTTGATGGCAGTGGAGCAATTTACTCCGTGCATCTTTCCACAGTTGACAGTGAAGTTTTATTATCATGTCACAGTTGTAGAACGTCAGAAGGGCTTGAGTTTTAGTGAGGACTGTAGTACACAGACAAGTGGCATTTGCTATGATTAAGCCTTGCAGAAAATAAGGGGCAGAGATCTGCAGTGAAAGTAGACATATGTCTGCTAAGAGTGGGTGTCAGAAGAGGAAACACAGAAAAGCTGCAAAGAAGCTGAAGCATAAAATGCAGAGGTGCTTACAGTAGTTGTATTTGAAAAGCTGTTTGCTTCTGGGTTTTTTTAGTGTACTTCATAAAGCAACATCCCTGCACTAAAAATAATTGGGCAGAAAAAAATAATGTGAAAAAAATCTGAAGGAATCAGCTGGATGCTCTACTCCAGCTATTTTAAAAGTAAGCCTTTCCAAATAGGTAGCATCACGATATTCCTGAGATATTTAATAACCTGAAAGCATGATACAATTCCAGAACAAAAAGATATTACTGGAATAGCCAATAAACAAAGTTTGATGTACCAGAAATACATGCTTGCAATTACCCTAAAACCTTTGCAGGTCTGCTTGGCTACTAGGGAAAAAAAAAAAAAAAGCAATATTGCCCTTAAATTCTATAGTCAGTAGACTAGTTCCAGGAAGTTTAAAAATTAAATTTCTTCTTTATGGAAAAACCCCAAAACAATCAAGAAACAGAAAAGACAAGCCAGTCGCTCCTTAGAAGTGCTACCAACTGGATCTTAAAATTAAAACAGAAATATCGATCCCATAAAGGTCATTAGTCACTACACAGTCAGTCAAACAAGCTTGGCCAATGACCTCGATAAGGCTGAATTCCCCTACTAATAATGGAATGAATTACTTACTCTGTACAGACAAGGAACAGTACAATGCTTCAGAACAAAAACAAGGTGCAACTTAACCAGAAGATATCAAAAACATATAGCCGGCCAAAAAATTAGTGGTTTTAAAAAAAATAAAATAAGGAAAAAGGTCACGGTTCATTTGAGCTTTTCTGGGTTTGCTTCTTTCTTTTAATTCCTTTTAAATTCACTCTGGATCTAGGTCAGGGGTATTTTTACGTTTTAAGTAACTTCATTACAGTGAGGCTATTCCTTTAATTTTCATTGAAGTAAACATTCAATTCTTTTTGTCTTGCTAGTTCATATAAAAAAATGTCAATATCAATGATTTGATATTGGAAACTTATCAATATGGAAACTTATGGAAGCTTGTAGCTAGTCTGGTGAAATTTCCATTGTGATTTATCTCTTATAAATTCTGAACAAACATGATACTTAAAGTTAATTCTTTCTAATGGGACATTATCTATCCTATTTCAAAATCATTTCTTCTATGAGAAAAGAAAACCATCTGTATATGGAAGCTTCTTCCCAGAAACCAAGACATCACCATCACTTTAGAACCACCCTCTAGCAATCATTCTGCTGAATTCAGTTGAAAAACTCACTTCTGCAAGACCAAAAACTAAGTAAAATTGAAGAGGACATGTGTGGGGAAGATCGCAAGAAAAAAGGTGTTTCTGTCCCTAACAGAACACACTGTAAGCATTAAGAACTTCAACAAACTTGTGGAGAAAAAACGAGCAGTATGTCAGAACAATATGCCTTCATACACCTCTACTACATCCTAACATTAACGGTGTTCTCATATGAATTTCCCTGCATCATCTGCATTTCCTTGGTCATGAGGAATGAAGTGACAGGAGAGTGGCTAATTCACTTATTGCTAGATACAGCTCAGATCCTGGCACACAAGGCTGTTTTTACATTGACACCAGAACACACAGCTGAGTTAGAAGAAGGTGTATTGGTAAGTCTATCCTGTGTCTGGTTCACATAATATAAATGTTTGACAATACTGTTTACCAACACCTATGCTTATTGCTGAAAGCAATAAATACTACTAAATATTATAGCAAATGTAATAACACTATTATTGTTATTAGTTCCTCCTATTATACACAAACAAAAGGAGAGGGGAAAAAAGTAACAAGGTGGTCTGTTCTGGGATACGGAGTATCAGCAGTGTCAGTATTTTGGCAAATTAGACAGAGTAGATGTATTCAAAACTCTGAGGAGGTACCTTGCCAAAGCCAGTGCCCTGTTTACTCTCTCCTCCAGGCCTGTTGTTCCCAATGCTTTCCACATCAGCCAGAATTTGAATGCATCCGGACGTCTGCTGCACTGAATGGACTTGTCACCAGTGTCATAGCTGACATCATAGAACTTGTCCTGCTGGAACAGGTATGCAGCCTCAGCAGAGTAACATTTCTTCAGAAGGCCCTATTAGAAACACAATAGAGACTTAGATTCCTGGGTTCCTGATCAAACCACTTCACAAGTCAAAGCCTGTTTTCTCCTGTCTGTACCAATGGTTTATTAAAACAGATTTGGATGTGCAGAATACTTTCCAAAGCATATAGTGTCGTTTAAGAATCCTGGATGAACTTAAACCCAGTGAAGTCAGCACTGACAACAAGCAAACTTTTTCATTATTATTATTTTCTCCATAATGTCACTGAAGAGTGGCAGGTTGAAGAGAAATTTTGAGTCAGAATCTCAAGAAATCATGGAAGTGGGTATCACAGAAAGAGTTGCCCAAAGACATATACGGATGGGAAAGAGGGAGAAGTAGACACCTATGTCCACTGCTCCAGTCTTTAGACGGAAGGACAGCCCCTGAAGAACTTCCTACATGTTCACAAATGGCTCAATCTATTCCTTCTTTGGTTAGTTGCAGGTAAGGAAGATTTTAGCCCCCAAAAATAAATGTTTAGCCCTTACCAGCAAATAATCACTGTAGATTTAGCATAGGCTATCTGATTGTTTGAGCAGAAAGACTACAAGGAGATTAGTACCACACCCATTTTTGTCTCATTTTACAGTTCAGACAAATTTAACATTCGAAAATAAACGTGAGAAAAGTACTTTCACATACCCTAATCATGGTTTGTTAATAAAATTATTTTTATTCAGCGATCTCCAGCCTCCAGTTTCTGAGAGGCTGCCTGAGCAGAGATGAGCAGCAGAAAACAAAGATTAACGAGTAATGTGGCAAGTTCCAGCAGAGAAAAAGGCTGTGAAACAGAAAGCACAGAGGTTGTTATAGGTTTAAAGGTACAGAGGAAGAGAAGTGGTATAGGACTGGCCATTGGCTGAAGAATGAAATATCAAAATATATTCTGTAATACTATGAGGTAGAGAGAAGGGGTGGCAGAAAACAGGTTACAAAATCGAAGATGAGGGTGACCCTACAAGGGACCCAGAAGAAAGAAAAGGCTATAGATTTGTCAGCGAAGTGGGTAAGAAAAATAAAAGACAACCTAAAATACTCAAATAGAAATTTAGATGAGTTTAAAAGCATGGCTACTGCATCTGATTCAGATCTGGAAACACCTATTTAAGTGACAGCTGAACCTGTGCAGAACAGACAAGGAACAGAAGTGGACAGCAACACACAAGTTGCTAAACAGAAGACCACAACTCATTTTCCAGTTCAACATCACTCTTCAGTTTGAACCAACAGAAAAAGTATTTCACATTTCATTCTTTTCTCTGCATCTGCTGCAAGTCTGATTTTGAAATGGCAGACAGGTCTGACATCACTCTTAATCAAAGTGTCATATTCCTGTAACAGAGGTACCATTCTTGATCTACATTACAATACACTACTGATAACTTTAGGACTGGCAATAAAATAGAGAAAAAAGGTCAAGACCAAAAAACGTCAACAGATAATTAACCCACTGGCATACACAGAATAACTCTGCCTCTCTCCTAGACTTTTCAATTCCCTCCATCAATACTAAAAGCAACACAAACAAAAAAACCCACCTATGCACCTATTTGTAAGAGCACAAAAGGAGAACGCCACCAAAGGTTGCTCCACACCTTCTGTAAGGGTTTGACAGTCTCACTGCAATATTGCTGATTTGCTAAAAGTACAGCAAATTCAGTCTGAACTCTTTAGTCATAGGTCCAGCACATTCAGCCTTGTGAAAAGACAGTTTATGTGACAGCTTGGGGGGAAAAAAGGGCCAGCATCCGCTCTCCCTTTGCAACAGTGATAATGTGCAGCTGCAGCACAGGGTAGCTATAGCTGGAAAGCCAGTGCTGGGTGCAGTGTTTTGTAACGTATAAGATTCTCACAGTTACTTTCCAACTTTCTCAGAAAAAGAAAGGCAGAAAAAGGACATTAGAAACCAGACAGTCAAGCACTGAAGCATCCATACTTTACAGGTTTTTTACAGCTTTGTGTTCTCTGGCTAGCAGCTGTCCAACAAGGAACAGGAGTCATTCTGGGAAGCCATTGTGCTCTATTCATTTAAATCTACATACCTTGATTTTTAGGGAATAAACAAGTTTACTAGACATGGTCTTAAAAAATAAACAAGCACCAAGCAAACAAACAAGCAAAAAAAGGCAGCACCGTCTATCCACAAATTTAATTTTTTTGTCCCTTGCTGACTTAAATATTTGCATAGTGTTTCTGTCGTGAACGTATTGATCAATGTGCAACTATCTTCTGTCTTATCAGAATGCAACGCAGCTGCACAATAGAGGATATCACAGAATATTAGTTCCCCTCATGCCTGTCCTCTGAAAAATAATAACTGTTGTTTGTCACAAGAAACCTAAATTCAATTGGTAATATTATAGAAAGACTGAGAAGTTCACTTAAGATCACAGTACAGCTGCAGAGTTTAATAGTTTAAACTCTATAGAGTGACAACGCAACAAGAACAAATAGTTCAATGGCCCTGAGTGAACTCCAGTTCATAGCAATATATATTTCACTAAAAAAAACAAACGAAAAAAAAGGCAGGTACTGTCCTACGCTCCTGGTACATTCGAAGCTGACAAGACATGCTGGCTTGATGATCCTTGATAATCAACATGCTTGATAATGCAACATGCTCAAGAAATCCTGCTGAAGACACTGCCTATTATCAATCTACAGAGGCAAGCACAGTGACATCCTCATGCATGTTACTGGAGCAGACAGAAAAAGAAACAAAAATCATTCTTCGTGAGAAAGAAAGAAATACTACAGAAGAAAGGTGGAGAAGAAAGAGAAGGGAAAAGAAAGGGAACACTGCAGAACATAGTTTGCCCAGGGAGGACAGCAGAAAAGAAAAAAAATCCAAAAGAAATGTTATGCTTAAGAAAGCAGTTACTCTTTGATTGCTGCTGTCTCAAAATTAAGAGATTGAAACTTGCTACATGCTGAAGACATAAAAAGTCATCTCAATTTTCCTAGTCAAATTATGGAAAAGCAGAAGAGAAAAAAAAGGCAAGAAACATGGCTTAAATATGTTTCCTAACTCAATGCTCTCAGTCCCAAGAAGATGCCAAGAGTTTTCCACACAATAACTGAGCTGCTCCATCTGTTTAGAAGAATTGCAAAAATGTCATTACAAGTGCCTCGTTTGACAAGTTTTGACTATCTTTCTTCAGCACCTTTTATCTTTCTACCGTTTTTACAGAGACTTATAGTCAGGTCGCTAAAGTTTAGATAATGGAAATACTGTTTTCATGGAGGCCCCAGTCTACTGTGAAGTCTCAAAGAGCTTTTGATTTTGATGAAGTCTACGGATAGTTGCTGTGTGTTCTAATTAATGGGAAATTAATGAATAATTATAGATACCGAAACCTAGAGCTCCATTTTCATAATTCAACATATTTTTGTCATTGAATAGAGTTACCTACAGCAAGTCTTCTGATCTCTTTCCATTTTCTTTGCTAGTTAAAAGTGAATTTCAATTTCATTAACAAAATATCTTTTTTCCCCAAGACAAACATCTCCCTGATTTGCCTTATCTGAAGCAGTATGAACATCATACTTGAAAATTCTCAAAAGCAGTTCAGTGTGAAAGGCCATTCTAGGAATTCACTTCAAGAGGTGAGAAGAGGTCTCAGTTGCACTAACCCCAAGTGAAAACCAATGAGAATAGGGTATTTCCTGCAGGTGCCCTGGAAAGGAATCAGGGAGGTAGATATCTCTATGATGTTGCTAATGACGAGGAAGAGATTACACTGTAGATGGCTTCCATCACCTTAATCAATTATATTCTTGTTAAACTGAGATTTAATTAGCTACACTGAGACTTTATTCTTAACAAATAAGTGAAAATTCTGCTCTTTGCTTAGAATTGATTCTTAATTACCTAGCCTAGTGCTTCACTCTAATGAGTCACTGGCAGTGACGGTAAACAGTAGTTCTCTATTTATAGGGTGATAATATTTACACCGATATGGATTATAGCAAGGACAAACTGTAGTAGCTCTGTGGTTTTAAGGGAGTATTTACAACCCAAGACTGATTCCTAGCACTTTAAGAACATTGGAGAGCAAAACTGACTTCACTAATGTTTTGAGATTATTGCTCCATCTAGCTTTGTGTTTAAACAGTCACTGCAATTCATGCCTCAGCAATACAAGTGTTTTCTGAGTAAGACTATCTTATTAGAGAAGTGATGAAAGTTACTCAGGGCATGGCAGTGAAAAAGGAATAACTGTGCACTTCTTGAGTGCTTTAAGCACTGAAGAACTACTGTCATTGATCTGAGCTTTTATAGAGGATTAACCAATCTCTCTTTCCCTTTGGTGAAAATACTTCTCCCATCTAATCAAGTCAAACACGTATTTCTGTTTTCTATCTCTACCTTCTTTGGAAATATTCCAGTTTTGTTTCACTAAGGCTGTAAGATACTCTTTTATCAGCATTTCACTGCCGTTTATCCTTTTTTTTCTTTTTTTTTAAATCTGTATGGGAAAATATTTAAATACAATGTTTTATTCTAACAGGCTAGCTACAGTGTCTTAAGCCTATTAATAATGCTAAACCATACTGGGGCTAAGTGGTAAAAAAACCCAAACCAAACAAAACTAGTCACTATTACTTTTGCTAATGGGAAATTACAGTGTTACCACCACAACTGAAATGTGATGACACCTTCTAAAGGTTGTTTTTTCATACAGAAAGTATGAAAGAGAGAAAGAAAAACTGAAGGGGATTAATTTGTTTACTTATAATCAACTAAGCCTATTTCTGAGGTACTCCACAGTTTCCAAATGGACCTCAAAGCAAATGAGAAGACAGAGTAACAAAACTTCCTTAATCAGTCTTTCAAAGGGAGATAGGGTGTGATTCATAAATAGGACTTAACATTCATGATTAACATTTTGCTGATTTGATTTCTTGCATAATTCAGCATTTCAGAAACACCTGAGGTTCTTTGAACATTCACTGGTAGAGCAATGTGTTCCAAACTCTTCCAGCTCCCACTGAGGCATCCTAAGCACAATGCAAAGGAATTTTCACATGTAAATGTGTGCTTCATCTGCAGCCATAGGTATTTATGTACTTTAGGAGAAGTGGAACAAGCTCTCAAGTGAGAAAATGATACACGTGCTCTTTCCTTCTCTTACTGGTGTGAAAATAACATTTTTAATGGAAAACTGGAGTCAGCTGCCTATTCTGGTTATGGAGAGGATCAAAGTGAAGCAACGCTTTTCTGTCAAAGTGTCTTAAATATGCATTTGATCTTTTTTTCTTATGGATTTATATTCCAGCTAGTTAATAAGAAAGTACTCAAATTTGTATGTGTCTCCTTGCATATAAAGACTGCATTGGCACATACACAAAATAAGTAAGTGTCAATTTTCCAGGAATTAAACACAGAGTAAAATGCCCTTTCTACTCAACGCAAAGAAATCTTCTACTTTCCAAAAGGTCTCTTGCTATACAACAGGATCTATGATCAGTGATACTTGTGTTTTCACCCCTCAATGACCTAGGATTCATCTTTACAAATATTTCCAATACAACACTGCCCAGCTGTGTTTTAAAAGTGGAACAGGAGTGCTCCAAGAGACATTACACTGCACAGAAGGAGAATATAACATAGCTGCTAGACCCCTGAAGCTGGAACAGTGCTCGTAAAGTGACTCTAAATGCTTGAGCAGCTAGAACATTTCCAACTTCATTTCTTTCCTCTTTCTTCCTGAGAAATTTCTATTATGCAGTCCAAGTAGTCTAATCATTACCTGGGGCTATATCTATGTACTAGGGCTAATTAGTTAAAAATGAAATCTTCCCAAGTCTGCAATTAAGACACCATATTAATCTTAGTCAATAACGTCATTCTGTTTGTTTTTCATCCTGGAATAAAGATAAAGTGATGGACAGTAATCTTGAGGTCTAATCCTACAGACTCTAGCCTACGGAGATGAGGAGGTACACTTCTCCTTGCTGTCCTGACATGTCTCACCTCTGACTTAGAGCAATCAGCTCCAAGAGAGTGCCAATTAGCAGCTATGGTCTTTGGTCCTCATCAGTTCTTACCACTAGAAGTTAGTAACAAATTACATGGATAGCTAACCCTAGCAGTTGAAGAGAAAATATCAGTAGTTTTGACAGAGTAACTTACGAACCATGGCCACAAAATAGTGGTGCAAACCTCCAGGGCTCCAAATCTTCATGATGTTCAGTCATTTATAACCTATATAAGGTGAAACTCAACCCTGATGGTGGTAAATGGGTTAAGTTTTAGCAGTTCTGAGTTTGAAATGGAGCTTGAAATAATTGACCTCTTACTGGTTTCTTTATTAAGATAAAAGAATTCCACAAAGATAAAAGCAGGGATTTTTACTATATTGCAGACTCATCTTGAGATCAAAACTCTGTTGTTTGCTTGATAGACCTTTAAATTAGTCATGGCTTTTGGAAAGTCTAAATCACCCTGGTGATGAGGAAAAACTGGTAGAGTGAGCAAAGAAGGCTCAGCACCTTCTCCTGGATGTGATCTGCCTCCTATCCCTCTCCCACTTTGGTGCACTTATGTAAGGCGATGGGAAGACAAGCTTTGCCTACTTTAAACAGAGACGCAGTACTGCTGCAGTCCCGATGGATGTCAGCTATTCTGAGGACTTTGATAAGCTCTGTGTTTAAGTGTTGCAGGCCCAGGTGACAAAATACTCAATTCTGAATGTAAGTCATGTACAGAAGTTAACTAGCTAAGGCACCAGCTGCAAAATTTGACCACTTGTGGGTACAGTGACTTGGATCCTGCTCTCTTATTCATCCTTTATTAAAATGAATTTAGTGGTGAAATTCAAAATGATATAATTCAGCCTTTGCACTGTCGTATAGTAAAAATGACTTGCAGCTGTTTTCTAATTATTTCTACTTCCATATAACAGCAGTGACAGCCTACTGCAATACAAAAAAATAAAGACAGGAGGACTTACAGAGTTGTCTTTCACCAGAAGAGCACAGCACTGTATTCCTGCCAACAACATTTTATGGGGATTCCAGGCAACAGAATCAGCCCTGCGAAAATTATAAATTGCACCTATAATCATGGGTACTAAAGAATCAAAAATGGCCAAACAATCCAAGCAGACAAATCAGATTTACCATCCCCCCACTCCCACCATAGGTTCAGAAATCTCTCCAACTAAGTAATTTCTATTTATGGAAGCCAACAGGCCACACAACTTCCATCTCAATCCCTGGTAAGTGAGCCCATGAACTAAACTGACTTACCTGTGGATGCCATGAAGAAGTCTGCAGTGCTTCCTTGATATCAAAGCCGAGCCACCCCAAGAAGCCTGTTAGAATGTTTATAGAGCCAAGAAAATATTATTTGTATAAAGTTCTTTTCATAATACTTCAACTAATAATTTATAAAGATGTCTTAGCTCATTTAAAAGTTAGTTTACTACATGGTCAGTGGGCTAAATTTTGCCTTTAGTATCATCTACTGAAATAAAGATGGCAGCCTGGGGCTGTGCCTAAAACAGAAGAGTTGATGGTTTGTGCCACTGCATAAGCCACAAACTAGACTGGCCATTCTGTGTAAGCAAGGCAATGAACTGAAGTGTCCTTGCATAACCAGAGTTGCTTCCTTTCCCCCAGCCTTAACCTCAGCAGTGAGAGCAGAAAGCCCCATTTTGCACATTTTCTTCCTGCTAGCCATTTCCTTCCTGAGAAATTCACAAGGAAACAGCAGGCAATGTAAAAGCTCTGCCAGTTGCAAAGTCCAGGCTTGGATTTTCCACACATATGAAAAGCAAAGTCAGGGAGTGTGCAACAGCAGCATTCCTGTTACCAGCAACCCAACTGACCTTAAAATGGTTTAAGACTCATCACATCTCCCTCAGGTCAGTTACCAACTAATAGTGTACTCTGAGAATCATTTAGGCCTTCTCTGTAGAGAAGAACTCTCTACCGAATCTCCTTATTGAGCGTCATCTGCTCTAGACACCCATCTTTGGGTGATACCTTTTGCAGATATACGTCTCCATGGACAACAGAAGGAACTCAGACAACAAGCTTTTATTACACAAGTTTAATTTCTGGGCAATCAGAGTCAGGAAATGTGTTCCTTATTCATGAATTCTGCAGGGATCAGATTTCACCCATCAGGTGTTGTGAATCTTCAGTTCTCAGACAACAATATTTATCCACAGGGGAAAGTTGGAGAGATCATGCAAACAGCAGACATGTCATACAGTGCATTTGAGAAATTACTGATAAATAAATAAATAAGAGGATTTTCAGTGTTCATGCAGGCAGAATACACTTAAGCAAACTATCTGTGAACTAAGCAAGGCTTTTCAGAGGTGCACAGAAGGCATCAGTCCACAAAACATCTGGACTCAGCTTATTTAAAAAAAAAAATTCATATATTTTGTGCTAATGAAGGGGAAAAAAAAAAATCATTGATGTAAAGATTCCTGACCTAAGCATGGAGAATATATGCTTGTTTAGCTTTTCTTCCTTTTTTTTTCCCTTGAAAAAAAACAGATGTGATAGATGACATACAAATTTAGCATCAGTATTTGCTTCATAGGCCATACATTAGGAATAAGGTCTGTTATCTCTGCGAGACAAGAACAGTAGAGGCTCACAGGGGAAATGAAAGGTTATTAACTTGTCTTAACACATCATTCTCATTTATGCAGTACATTAATGCACCACATCATATTTTACATTGTCATGCTTACAATATCCTTGCTGCCACTCAATCTACAGCTGGGACCTAAGGTAGGAAATGATTCTACCTGCAGAACCACGACTTCGAGCTATGTTTCTCCAGCTGGTCCAAATTTGCCATGTTATGGGAAGACAATCAATCTGAACTTCCTATTCATAGAAAATTTTACTTTTTTCATTCTATGATTCAATAAAGTCAAAACAATCACTAAGTTATTCCCTGACTTTCATAATTTATAAACAACACATTAAAAGATAATAAATTTCATGAAATCTGCATCTAAAAGTGTCTGTGTTTTAAAAAGTTGAAATTTTCACACTGTCTCTGAAAAACAGGATTAGAAAGGCACTCAAGAGGTCATCTCAACAGTGTGCCACTCCCAAAGGCAGGATCAACATATTCATCTCATTTCTGTCAAATGCTTGTCTTTTCTAGAAGTTACTAATCAATGAATATATAGCTTGTAATTAGCAGGAAAATGAAAAATATGACGCAGAGAGGCACCAGCAATTTCTGCCTCTACAGCACTACTGGCACTACTTTCTGCCTTTGTTTTAAAAACTACTGCTGGAGATCTAGAAGAAAGGAATGATAGTACTGGAGGTCCAGGCATCTTCATCACCTTTCAATCTCTCCTTGAGCCACAGGAGTACAAGATAAATTTGTGATCCATGTTTCTCACCCAATTCAAAGATCAAGTGCTTAGGGATCCAGGGCGGGCAAAAAGAAAACAAAAAACCCACCACCACCAAAAAAAAAAAACCACCACAAATGAGAAGATACCTAAGACAACTGAGAATCACTGTCTTTGGTTTTAAAGACCCCTAATGATGGAGGCTGTATAATTCAGCCACTTAATTTGTGTTTAATGGTAACAAACTGTTTTCAATTTAAAGTGTCAGACCTAAACAGTGTCACCTCTAGTCACACCTCCAGTGGTCAGGGGTAGAGATTATTCCTTTCTTTTTTAAAGCATCTACAGACTATTATGTATTGTCTCTTTGTCCTTTTTAGTTTAAATAACATCAGTGCTTTCCATCTTTCCACATTGGTCATGATTTCTAGATACGGTTCTGTTTATCTGCATCACTTTCTCATTTTCTAGTCTTTCTCCTGTAGGTCCTTAACCTTCTTGAAATGCATCTTTTTATTTGGACACAATCTAGATAAAGCAGATGGAGTACATACCAGGAAGAATCATTTTACGTATCTTCTTTATTCAGTTCTGAAATACATTTAACTTTATTTGAAAATATCACTGATTTGTGAAGTACTGCAAAGCCCAGATCTTTTTCTAAAGATCTGCTGTCTAGCCAACAATACCCAGCCTGTATTTGTGCACTTGATTATTAGAGCTTAGAATACTATCTTTATTGAACTGTAACCTAGTTTTTCCACTTTTTTCTCCAAATTATCAAAATCTCTTTGATTTCTAATCTTGTCCTTCCACTGCCTCTTGCAGCAGTTTTAAATAATTTTCAAATTGTCAGTGTATTCTTTTTCATCCAAGTTATTTAATGAAAGTAACAGATAACTTCTAACCTAGGATAGAACTTTGTGGAATCCTGCTCAAAAAATTTTCCCCTTTCAGTGAACCACTGATAATTGCTCTCTGGGTATGATTTTCCAGCCAGCTTTTCACTCACTACCAGAGCTGCAGCTTGGCATGTTTCTCTGGTTTTTTGATTAGATATTGCAAATACACAATAAAGTTAACTGCTTCTCCTCCATCCATGAGACTACAGAAGGAAGGCAGACTGATCAAACTAGACTGGTACGTTTTGTTGATGACAAATCCAGCTGAGATCAATGCAGGGTAGGTTTAAACATTAATATTATCACCTGTGTCCAACGTAATGTAATTGATAACAAGGTATGAGAAAATTACTCTGTTTCATATGCAGCAAATCACTTTCAGCTGAATGGTGGAAATCACAGTGTTCACAGTGATTAAACAAATTACCTAAGCACAGGCTAATAAGTCAAACCTGATTTTCTGTACTGGCCTCTAATAGGAAAAAAAAAAGAAGAGTCAAAGTAAGGACCATCAGGGAAGAAATACTCATATATAGTACTTAAAGCTGTGTGAAGACAATACATGACATATGTAGGTGCTGGAACTTGAGTGCATATTGATGATAAAACCAAGTTATTAAGAAAGGCATCATAGATGTAGATTAGAATAAAATAAGCAACTGGAATGCTTGTATAAATACCATAATGTGAACAAAATAAGCTTGTTATAGCTCTGCACTCAGGCTGTTGAACAGCTTGACTGCTAGAACAGTTTGGACTTACTAGTATTATCTTCTTAAAATAATATTTTCCGTAACTCCCTTTACCTCTTCTGGTTTATCTCCATGTGAGATCTTATCTACTATTTCGGACTTTACTGAAATTTATCTTCCTGAATCTCACTAATTTTATGTTGATGTTCTCCCTTTTGCCCTTTTGCTCTTCCTAAGAATCACCAGCTTTATCATTTCATATTTAATGAAAATAGTTTCCCTAAGGCAAACACATAGATTTTTAGGATCAGAAAATATTCTGAAATGAGATAAATCATTGTAAATCTGGAAATAACACCACTGACATTCATATAGGTTATTCTTAGTAATAGCTCATGAGAGCATTTACAGTAGACAATCCTGATGCCCATTAATGATACATGAAAAGTCCTAAATTAGACAGAATTTTACTTGGTTCTGTCTGTACTGTACCTTTTTTCCTTCACAGTTACAGCAGGCCCAAACAGCAGCACTCACTTTTTATAACTCAGACTGTATAATGTGTAAATCATTCAACAAGAAGCCAGAGGACTGCAGATTCTCAAAGCTTTCAAAAATATCATATTCTTGCCTATAAGGCTAGAAGGAGGTAAGCCTGCTTAAAATCAAAGATAAAAATCCAGTTCTTCCCTGTGTCTCTTGTACAGTCTTTCTGAATGGCAAAGACTTAGTTTCACTGTATCTGTTCGCATATTATTTTATTACATCTATTTCTAGTGGTACTGAGTGAAAAAATATCACATTATGAACTACAGTCTGCTCATTTTACCACAGTACACTTGTACATACATGTATGACTGACATCACTTACGTGGAAAGCTTTCAGTCTTTCCCTATATCCTGTTCTCTTATTAATACAGCTAGAAACTTTTAACAAAAAATAAAGAAACAGCCATCCATTCAACTCTCCATAGAATGTGAAAAATAGAAAAAATACTGATAGAACTTCTGAGAACCACTGAGAGGTTCATAATATGAATCACATCTTAACAGAATGATTGGTCTTCCAGACCATAAACCCAATTTATTACTGGACATTTGTCCTTCTACTGGGAATCTATTAACATCTGACACCTACAGCCATTTTTCAAACAGCAAATTGACTTAAAGATATTCACAGACATTTTTACCTTAGTTTAATATGAGGCAAAATTGGAAGAAGAAGGTTAATTCTTTTCAAACACTATCAGCTGTCCATGGTTCAGAATATGGCCCAGGCTTATCTCACCTAATTTTCGTTCAGCTACAGGGAGACTACTCATTGTACTCCTACAGCCACTGGAGATGGGTCCAGCCACGTCTATTCAAGTCAGCTGAGGTTCAACACAGATTCCAAATACATCCTTCTTTCCATCAGCTGTACATAGACACACAAGAGACTGGCATGCAGCTTGAGTGCTGTGCTTCTGATGAAAATCTGACTGGTTGTTCTCAGCAGCACAGAGCCATGAGGGGGCTTTGCAGATATTTTAAATACAAGGCCTAGATTCTGCATCTTTACCTCCAAGTCAATAAGAAAACTCTTTTGACTCACTCATACAGTGACCTTATTTATCAATGTCTGTGAGACATTTATTTGAAACACACATCACTGCCTACGTGGTTTTTCTCTAGATACTCAACTTTAAACAAACACTTAAAAAATTTAAAGCAGGTCTAAAAATCTCCATTAACATTGCTCTAGATTTTCTTGTTGCTCCGCAACTTCTAATGTAGCTATTCTGGATTCGTGGTATTGGAATTCTAAAGAGAATATAACTTTAGAAAAGATGAAGACCTATCTTTATTTACTCTTGCAGGTAATAAAAAGGTTCAAGGATTATTCCAAAATGATTCATAGATTTTAATGGATTTTAATATCCAAACCTAAAATTACAAAGAAATTTAAAAAAAGAAAAATGTAAGGAAACTCAAATCTTAAATATGAAACAGAATAATTTACGACTGGTTGAGCCAGAAACATATCTTTATTTTAATCTGTATGAACTGCACACTACAATTCTAATGTGTCTATTCTCCAACCGAACATGGAAATAATTCAAATTTATACTTGTATATAATCACCCTTGAAGCATTTTTAGGAGGTATCAAGAAGAAATTGATTATAAAATAATTTTGAAATATAACCTGACAGTAAAAATATAGCTTTGACTGTTTGTCTATTTTGCAGCACATATAACAGAGACAAGTCAGAATGTACTTCTGGTCCCTATTAAAAAGAAAAGTTATTAGAGCCCAACTTATTTTTAAAAAGAAATATCAACAGTCAAAGCAAAATAGCAATTATAAAAAGCAGTGCTAAACAAAACCATGCAGTATACAAACTCACATCAACATGAAGCCAGAGGCCATGCTTTTCACAGATATCAGCAATTTTATCCAGAGGATCAAATGCTCCCAGCACTGTTGTGCCTGCTGTAGCACAGACAAGAAATGGTGCTGACCCCTGCAACAGAATTCAAAACAAAAAAATTATAATTTGCACTGCTCATTTGCTCCAGTATACTTGCAGAGAATAAAGTATAAAAAGGTCTAGGAATGTAGGACAAAGATGTGACAGTCTACATTTAGTTTCCCAACAGAAGGTACTGCATTTAAAAGTGCTGACTCCTTTTTTTCCCATTAAAAAAAAAGAAAGTTCATTTTCCATTTCTAGTTAACACCACCCCAGGGCAGACTTCACCAGTTTCAGATTGCTTTGACAGATGCCAGTTTTGCCAAAATCAAAACACACCAGATATTTGACATCTCTCTTTATACACTGATTTTCATTTCTCAGTCTTCACATTTCACTACCATATTTGCTGTCATTCTGATGGATAAAATAAAGCTACTAGCTCAGACAGCAGACTATCCATGCGAGGAAAGGGCTCATCCCTCTAGGGTTTCCACCTGCACTGTCTCTACAATACCGCTGTTCTCTGCCTGGTGAAGAGGAAACTTCAGTTAGACAACACGATTTGCCTTCAGCAGCATTGGCACATCCCATGACAGGGACGGTCACCGCTGCCTGATCCCATGCCTGACCTACAGCACAGTGCTATTCCCTTGTTCCTACGCCTGTCTAGAAAACAGGAAGGGTTGTAAGATGGTAACTGAATGTTAGGAGAGAGATCACTGGAAATCTCAAATAGTTTTAAGGTCAGGCAGCTGGGATAAGGAAAACTTTTGTCAGGTTGCGGTCTCAGGCAACCACTGTAAGCCATCCATCTTTGTTTCTGTGGTTTTGTGCATTGTTTTCCATTCAACTAATAGCAGGGGTGCATTTACAATAGCAGGCTAGGTCACGTACCCTTGCAGATCTGTGTGGCTGTGTCTACTTAGGAGCAGAAACTGAAACAATTAAAAGAACTGGTGGATTCTGTAACAGCTCTGTGAAATTGAGGGTGTCAGCCCTAGCAATGACTGCGTGGCCTCCCCGGTAAATCCATGTGGCAATGGCTTTGCCATATGTAGGATGGAAGAAGTCCTGTCAGAGATGGACTAGTGAAGAAAAAGAAAACAGCTAAAATGTTATAGAAACAAAAGGTTTTAAGGTGGTTTAACAGGTTTTAAAATGGCTTTTGCTTTTTTGTAAAATCACTGCTCCTTCTTCCCGACACCCCCTGTGAAGGACTATTGTCTCCCATACAGGAGTGTCCTGGGAAGATGTCCTGAGGTGTTTCTCATTGGTCCTTGTTAACCCCTTCCTATTGGTTGTTGACTCTTTACCTGATTGTTTTTTTCTGTGTACCCCTGAACTTGTAATTGGCCCCCTTTTGACTCTCCTAAAAGCCTTATAAACCCCTACCCCACAATAAACTTCCTCTTTCATCCATCCCTCCCTGGTGGTTTGTGTGAGCTCCTTGCGGGGTCGCTGGGCCACGTGGTGGGGGCAGGGGGGAAGAGCATTCACCTTCCAGGTAATGGGCTGGCACCCAGAGCCTGAAGGTTCCCCCTCCAACTAATCCATCATAAATCCATGCTGAAGGAACTGGTCTGCACGTTTTAGCATCTGGCCTACAGCATGACAATGCAGTTACTGAAGAGGCACTAAAGCTGCTCTTACATTGTACAGTCTGGAATCACTGAAGTTCATTTGCAGGGAATTAAATCTTTCAGATGATGTAAGTGTCTGCTAACGTAACTCAATGTAGCTTGGTGAAAACAGACATCAGCTGAAAAAATCAAACTCTACACAAGTCTTTCATGTATCTTCACTCAACTGAAATCTGATCTCTCATAAAAAAAGAGAAAAACTGTTGCCACTTTTAAACATCTACAGGCTTAATTCACATTTGCACTCTAACAGTTTTATACTTCTTTACAGCGTAGAAGACTATTAGACTGGTACATAATTATGATTTATTTGTATTTTAAAATTTCTTTACAAATTGCTAAAGCAGTGAAAAGTAATATTGGAAAGAATTTAAATTAATCCCATACAATCACAAAGAATTACCAGCCTATAATTCACTTCTTGGTCATTTATTCTTAGTACAAGGTACCACAATAGTCAAACTTACAAGCCAGCCTGAAGCTCAAGTACAAAACACTTGCAAGTGAGGCAAAGATGTATTTGATGCATCTAGTTTCTGTCAGTGCTCCCACCAATTTTCTCCCAGAGCTACATCAAAGTCAAAGGTCCTCAAACAGCAAGTTGATAGCAATGAGTGAATACAGGGACAAGTCTAAGAACTCTTCAAATTCCAGTAATTGTCACCATTACACATTTTCCTTGAAGAAGAGAATTCAATTTTTGTTATTCTTGACAATAGAGTTAAACAAATCTTCCTGACTAAACTCTCTAAAAAGAGTCCAAGACTCTTGCTATTCATATTCAGTGATCATTTTGTGGTTTTGTCACTAGCAAATACATCTTCTCTTGTCTAGAGGCATTAGAATATTTACTGCAATTCACTGAAGTGCCCTTCTGTAAAAGTTGTAAAGTAGCACTTTGTCGAGGACAGACGCACTTACAGAAGCTCTGATGAAATGAAAACCTTCCAATATACCTGTAACTTCCATTAAAATGCAAGTGAAATTGTGTTTTCCTGTAAGCAGAGCATTTCGATATAGAACATTTGTTTTTAAATTGCAGAGCACCATACTGGGATTGACCTTTTTTAAAAAATCATAAATGCCAGATGATTTCTTTCAAATAACCACTACATTTAGTATTACATGAACAAACACAAATTCTGTTTTTGCAAGAACAAAGAGTTCATTCTCCTGTGAGCCTGCTTCCTCTTGTTCCATTTTATTTCAGCCATTTTTTCCCCCATCTTGCTCAAATGAATAAAGTATAGGTTGTCTTGCTCAAATAATGCAAAGTAAAGAAAGAGGCAAGCAAGAGAGTTTCCTAGGTCATTAGGGTTATCATGTATCAATGCTACTATCTAGCATGGAACTCAGAGATGATTGTCAGGCAGAAGATGTATCTAAATCAGATCTCACTGAAAACTGTTGTGGCCATGCCAGTGCATGACAGGACAGCACTACCTTGGCTTTTCTACCAGCCACAAAAGCAGGTTTCCCAAGATAGGATTCAATAGAAGGTATTATCTATGCCATCCACGTTGCACTAATTACTTTGTATTCACAGATCATGACTGAACTCTGAATCCTACTGTTCTGATACACAAACTAGAAGTGAAAATTAAGGTGAGCTAACCAAGCCAAAAGAAGACGCTCCTGGAATTCACATTCAGTCCTCCAGGCTCTCTAAAATAAATTATGTTGACTATAGTTAAACACTGTCTTACAGATTATAGGAATGTATGCTAATGTTGTCCAAATATACACATCAGTACCTTTCTAAATGTTGGCCTTTGACCTTCTACTTGGCAAAGTCCCTAGGGAAAAAAAGGCACACCTCTGCACTCTTCCTACAGTAATAGAAAGGACTGAATTTAGCATTTGTAGCTTGTATGATGGTTTCAGAGACTAAGACACCTTACAGTTCCTGCTTACTGCAGAGGATAGAGGAACAGCTGCTGTAATTACCTGAAAAACCTTTTTAGGAAAACAAATACCACACCCATTTAAAAAAAAAAAAAAGGATCAAGGGCAAAAGAAATCCTGTAAGAAATGTGCTAAATATTAAGAGCAGCATTGTACTCAGGACTTTCATTAGCAGCAAACACCCTGTGGAATTTTCCTCCCTTCTAAGAGTGTAGAACCTATAAGCCTTGACTTGTTATACAAGTTTGTGGAAAAGAGATTTCTCCTGTAAGAAAGCCATTGTTACATTAATTGCCCTATTTTTAAGATTTTGCTCGCTCTTAGTTTCCTTCCTTTCACTCAGACAGAAGCACACAGTCTGCATACACTCCTCTCTCCTTCATGCTCTCTCTCCCCCTCTCACCTCTTTCCTGGCCCGCTGGACTTGTTTCTCCAGTTCCTCAGGTATCATCTTACCTCTAAGGGACACAGATTTAAAACTTTTTCAGTTATATTCAAATAAGTTGTTATGTATAGCACTAATGCATTTTAAAAAGGCTCAGAGATCACATTCATGGCTCTTGCTTTCTTACCTTTCATCTGTTCTGATGAAGTAAACATTCTCTGTACCAATACCCAGGAAGGAGGCTGCCTTCTTCATGGAGTAATGACACTGTAAGTGAGAAGCACAGGGAAAAAAAAAATAAACAACATGCAATTAAAACAAAAGAAATAAATTCCTCATAGGGAATTCCCACATAGGGAACAGTGACACTAAAATAAATTCAACTACACATAACAGCCATGAAAACAGCATATTCTAACACAAAAATCAAACTGATGAGCTACATATCACAAGTCCATCTTGTATTTAACAATAACATACACTGAAAAATAGGGAAAATAATGCAAAAAAATATGTGTACCATGTTTAAAACGTGGGCTTAAAAAAACTAAGAAACTCTATTACATACAAAATCTTTTAAAGCTGGTTCTGCATTAGAATGAAAAGCAGAAATTTTGAAGTGTCATCAGGGAAGAACTATTAATTGTTTCAAAAGGTTTTGCTAGAACTGAGTCAAAAGTATCAATGACTGTAAGAGTTAGGAAAGGCATGAGAAGAAAGTTCAGAAGGCTATTGAACTCAAAAAACTAGAAGCAATGAATAGGTCTGAAAGTCAAAAAGCACCATTCCTTGGAATCTGGACCCTTAATTAAGATGTGTGTTTAAATGATACATCTAAAGCCTCTATCACTTTATTCTTGTAACTTTTCTGCATGCTTTCTCTAATCCTCAGTTGTTGGCCACTGCCAGAGACAGGATACCATGCTAAACTGACCCTTGGCCTAATTCAGCAAATCTCGTTCACACCATCAGCTACCAAAAGCCTTCCCAAGACCTACCAAAGCCTTCAGATGTGGTACAATTGCGACTTACAAGGCTTTTAAAGTCCTCTCTCTGCAAAGGGATCTGAAAATCATGGTGTTGTGAAGCCGTTATGAAAACAAGCAGACTTCAGACAAGACTCAGCACATCTTCAAAAATTAATGTGGATTTTGCAAAAGGTTCCAGTCTGGACTAGTCTGCATTTTTCAGAAAATGAAGTTACTATTTCAGCAAAGACTTTTAGCTAGGTCTCATCACAGAGATATTTTTGAATGAGTACAGACACATGCAGTCCACTTCTCACCTAGTGTTGAATAATGGGCATCAGTCTACAAAGCCTGTGCAGTGAGTGTAAGAGAGGATGTCCAAAATGACTATTTATTTAATCAGAATGTGGTAAAATGTCTTTGGTGAGAAGGATACTCAAGCCTACAGACCACTCCATACAACTTTTTTTTCTGTTGAGCAAACATTCATGGACTATCTTACCATACTTCCAACATCCACCTCTATAAGGACCTGCTCTACCGTGAGTACTGTTATTCCAGCACAAGAACATTTTGACTTATGCCAGAATAAGAGTACACTGATCTCTCCTTAATTCATCTTCATAATTAGCCTGGGAATTTAAGATACAGTAACCTTCTTAACCTGAAGATATTTAGATGTCGAAACCACCCTGAGGAACCTGCAGCATGCCAAATGCCTACCCACTCATAGCAGTGGGGTCAGCTTTGAGAGTGCACAACCTCCCATAGCACTAGACAGTTCTTCTCAGAACAAAGATCATTCAACGCTCAGATTATCACTGCCCTTCTCAGAAAAAAATAAAGTTGGTTCTTTTACATGTTATTACTGAAGAGTTAAAATAATGTGTGCTCCAGCAACCATGAAGATGTCTAGAATTGTTACTTCTCATACAGGAGGTGAAGCCAGGTGGTTAATTAATTCCATTTTCTTCCAGAGAGTTCACACAAATGCAGTTACTGCAGAACATAATTATGAAAAATGTACAACATTTTAATGTGTGGGCATGAATACATTAAGAATAATAAAGCCTGTCATGCTTATTTTGATGAGATGGATGATCTCAAAGGGCTCTCTTTTTTTTTTTTTGACAAAAACGTTTCCCCCACTATCACCCACTTTTTAAATAAAAGCATACAAAGACACTACCTGATACTAGAAAGTAGTTTTAAGAAAGCTTAATTTTGTAACATGACACATCCACAAAGCTTTTAAGACTCATTCATTTAGACTGTTACAAGAATAATAACATACATAGGTGGATAATTAGTCTTACATTACATCAAATTACATCAGTAATGGTAATAATGATTGTAAGTGGTTGTGTGTTGATTAGTAGAAGTTTGGAGATGTTTTTGACTGATCTGTGAATCACTTAAAATACAAGTTATCTCCATCACTGATTTCTATCCATTACATTCAAATGAAAGGTATGAATCACCAAGAATAATCAGATTCCTCCAGATTAAGAAAGCAGTAGACCTGCAAATTCAGTATACTAGTAAGCAGACAATCACTAAATCATGTATTTTATTATAAAATATGGTGTGGGAGACTGGGAGAAAGATAAAAGACTTGAGCACCTGAGAGATTATACTAAAAAGCAGAGGAAAAGAGAAGTACAAAGTGAATACCAAAATAAAAGGCTGTAAGATACATTATTTTTTTTTCTCCAAAAGTATTTCTGCACCTCTTGGAAAATTTTGTCCTTCAGTAGGACAGAAAAGGAACAAGACTCATACTACCACACAGACTTGGAATATGCTTTCTTTGGTGTAAAAAGTAGTCTTTCAGTTATACTGATTGAAAATATAAGAATTTCTCCCCCCTGCCATCCCCACTATCACTAGAAGCCATTAGGCTAAATTGCAGTGCACCACTTTAAGAAAAAATATACCAGACAACAACAGTCACAACAATGTCAACTAATTCACTTGTTCATAGTTCCCTTAAAAAAAAAATTAATAAATAAAAAAAAAAGGAGAAAGAAATATCCAGATAAAAGGTGAATTCAGGTAACTCTTCCCATGTCTATCGTAGTTTTGTTTGTTTGGAAAAATTATTAAGTCTATAGCCATTTGCAGTAAGAAATTAACACCTTTGATCACAAAATCAAATTGGAAGAGTGGATTTAAGATGTGCTGCTGTACTATTTACCTATACCTAGATGTAGTTTTTGTTTCCTAATAATGTTTACAAAGACAAGGTACTTTCCATCCTGCGCTCATTAAAACAAAAGATAAATTTGTCTTTTCTTGATTTTGAAAAGTTTCCTAGAAACGTGATTGCATAAAGCAATTACATTATTATGAGATTGTTTTATTACTCATTTTTGTCTGTTTTAATTTCAACAGGGGACAACATGATGAGTTAATGTTGTGTTCTCTCACTTTATTACTTTCATGATCAAGTTGCACTGGGGAGGAATTACGTTTCATTGCATTTAAAAAACTGCTCATATCAGCATGCAAATTTCAGTTGTTTACACATCCTCTTCTACCCTCAGTTACCTAAAATTTAGCAGATTTCTACCTTTCAGATCAATGCAATACATATTTGTGTCAGAATAAAGCTCAGATGGGACTCAAATAGCAAAAAGTGAGAAAAAGGTGGACTGATATCTATAACTACAACTGTATTCAGCTCCTGCAGAGCCACAAATCATGCCACAAGAAAGTGGGATATAACAATTACTCTTCTATGGCTACTGTCTCAAGAGGAATCACACTGTAATGGTCCAGCAAAAGAACTACAGAGTAGCAGCACAGGCAGCATTCACTGCGTATCACCACCATTTTACTTGCAGGAACAAGGAGCCTTTTTATTCTTGAAGGCCAAACAGAGCATATGAGGACCTTGGGTGGGCCATGCATTAAACATACATCTTCAGGTTATCCAAGAACATACAAAAAATTTATAGCCCCAGATCACATAAAACTGAGCCATTGACAAATCTGTGCCTTCCTCTGTTCTGCAGCAGGGCAACTCTTTCAATCCACCCAGTGCCAAACTGAAACTTTGAGACTTGGCAACTCCAGGCAAAAATCATTTCATTTGAACACAGCATTGCAGCCAAGCCCTAAAATGACAAGAGGGCCTTAAGCAGCTATGTGTTTTGATTCCTTATCAATACTCAGTTCATTATAGCCTCACGGCTTCTTCATGCTAGTGCTGTTGCCTGATTCATGACTATGATGAACACAGGTTGTTAACTTCTCCAGGATTTGTTTTTTAAACAATTTGCTTCTCCAAGTACCTCTTGAGTTAAAAACAAACAAAAAAAACAAACAAACAAAAAAAAAACCAAAACCAAAACCACAAACAAAGAAAAACAAAACAAACAATAAAAAAAAACCCACACACACACAACACAACAAAAACGAATGACATTTGGATGAGGGAATTGAGTGTACCCTCCGTAAGTTCACAGATGGCATTAAGTTAGCTGGGAGGTTGATCTACTGGAGGATAGGAAAGCTCTGCAGAGGTATCTGGACAGGCTGGATTAATGGGCCAAGGCCAAGGGTATAAGGTTCAACAAGTCCAAGTGCCAAGTCCTGCACTTGGGTCACAACAACAGTATGCAGTGCTACAGGCTTGGGGACGAATGACTGGAAAGCTGCCCAGTGGAAAAAGACCTGGGGATACTGGTCGACAGCCAGATGAACACGAGCCAGCAGTGTGCCCAGATGGCAAGAAGGCCAGTAGTATCTTGGCTTGTATCAGAAATAGTGTGGCCAGCAGGAAGAGGGCAGTGACTGTCCCCCTGTACTCGACACTGGTGAGGCCACACCTTGAATCCTGTGTCCCGGTCCCCTCACTACAAGAAAGTCAATGAGGTGCTGGACCATGTCCAGGGAAGAACAGAGAAACTGGTGAAGGGTCTCGAGAATAAGTCTAATGAGGAATGGCTGACGGAGCTGGCACTATTTAGCCTGGAAAAAAGGAGGCCCAGAGGAGACCATATTGCCCTCTGCAACTACTTGAAAAGAGGTTGTAGTGAGGTGGGAATTTGCCTCTTCTCCCAGGCAGCCAGTGACAGGACAAGAGGACATAGCCCCAAGCTGTGCCAGGAGAGGTTCAAGTTGGACATCAGGGAGAATTTCTTCAATGAAAGGGTTGTTAAGCATTGGAACAGTCTGCCCAGGGAGGTGGTAGAGTCACGTGGAGGTGTTCAAAAAACAACTAGATGTGGCATTTAGTGCCATGGTCTAGTAGACATGGGAGTAATCGGTCAAAGGTTGGACTTGATGATCTTAGAGGTCTTTTCCAACTGAAATGATTCCGTGATTCAAAGGCACAAAGTGCTAAATAACAAAAAACTAAAAATAAAAACAATAATACTGTAAGACACAAACAGTTATTTATTTATCTACAGTGTGGACCATTCATTACATATATTCTCAATATGACATATTTGAAAAGTTCCCAAAAGGAACTTGAACTCAGTACAGGTGGATCCAAAATAAGTATATATGAATATGCCCACCTCTTCCCTCATAACCATGAGTAAACACTAGAGATCTTAGAAAATAGTCATACTATCTAACTACTGAAAGCATCAGTTTTACAGCAAGTGATTACTGAGCACTGAAGACAACATGGTTTTGTGAATCAAGCAAAGTATTAGAGACCAAAATCATGGCCTTACAAATAATTTACCAATTTACTTTGGCTCATCAGCTCTAAGTTTTATGCTATTGGTCTTTCTGCGGAAGCGCAGGCATCAAAATAAATTTACTCCAGGGGCCAATTAAAATTTGCCATGAAATTAAATGTTTGCTTATTTTAGAGTACAAGAATATACATTTTATTTAAACCTTGCAATGAAATAAAATGCTACTTCATAATAAAAAATTTATGTGCTTCACTTCAAAAGCAGTAATGGAATTTGCTTCAACCTCATTTTTACCTCCTTAATTATTTTGAAGATGTGACATTGCAGATTAAGTATGAACTGGCAAGTCATTTCATATACACACTTTTCTGAAAAAAACAAAACAAAACAAACCTAAATATATTTTGCTTGGGGAAAAAGCCCAAACAAACCACCTGTATTTAGGACATTAGGACTCAGTTCCAAAATATATGTGCTGTCTTGGACAAGCACACAATGCCTTCATCCCTCAGGCTTCTCCAAAATAAACCTGTTGTCTATTTACACTGCAAACTGTTTGCAGCATAAACTTCTGAGCTAAAATTATTCCTCTAAGTAGATGTTTTCTAATACAACAAGGTTCTCACTTCCACTGGAGCCTTTATATAGTGGAGTTAGAATTAATAACAACTCTGTGCTAATCAATGATAAACTCTTAAAACTGATGGGACAGGGAAGAGAAAAAAGCCACAAAAATTACCTTTAGAATAAATGTATGAATGTAACTCAATTTCCCACAGGCATTTTGGACAGATATTATTCAAAAACCTTAAAACTAGCCACATATTTTCAATTATTTAAAGAACTGTCTAAAGGTTCAGCTTTTTTTTTTAAGAGGCATATGGTAGGTTTGGTTCTGTACCACAATCATCTATATTCAGACACAAGGCAGAGTGGGAGCTGCAGAGAGCCACCTCACAGGTCCACAAGTGCTCAGTTTAGTACAAATTAAACATGCAGAAAAAAACCTTTGACATCCAAAACTTACCTACGGTTCCTGCTAGACTTTATGTTGTGGGAAATCAAATGTGCAGACCTCCACAACACACCACAAGCATTCTGCTTCAGGTTTGCCCCATGTACAACCTATTCTTATATCAGCAATTTTCAAAGCAGGAACATCTGTGTTTGTTTTCTGAAAGCAAGGAAGCTTTGGCAGGGAAATTTAGTATGAGACTTCTCCACCTAGTTCCAATATTTCTCATCATACACTGATGGAAAAATTGTTGTACCAGTGCTCCATTAGATACGCAAATGATATAATTTTGCAGATGTGGAAAAATAAAGTTCAAAAAACTTTTTTCAGTTTTGTTTTTTACCTCTTCTGAAGTGAACATGACTAGTCTTGGCAGACCTGAAAGCCCTTTCTCCTTTATCTCAGGACAAAACTTGTATCTTGCTAAGTTCATAGCATACATATTAGAAACAGAGCCACCTGCAGAAAGAGAAATACAAATATCACGTTAGTCACAGTACTAGCACCTGTCCTAAGCCTAAGTACTTGACCTATTAGGGAAAAAATAAACCATACAGTTAACCTAGTTATGCATCCATCACAATTTATTTCCTCCTCCCCTGGGCTACAGACATAAAATGAACTCTGGGCTCTGCAGCAGACATGGAAACAAAGCATATTTGAATGATTTTTGGGGATATTTCCCGAGAAGTAAGAGCTCTGTTCAAGCAGTCCTTCCCAACACAGAACACCCTGCCACAGTTCCTTCCCATCTATACTGAAGCAATGTGAGTTTAGGTGTCTGCACAGAGCTCACCTGTGGCTGTACTATACAGAGCCCAGAGATCTCTTGGGCAACCAGGCCTCAGAGTACTATGGGGAGAAAAAACTCATTAGAAAAAACTACAAACAGGGTGAGTGGGAACGGGAAGATCTGCAAGGTAAGATCTGGATGGGTTTTGATATTCAGTTAGAATAAAAAAATAATAATAAAAACCCTTACATTATTAGCACAAAAAGTACAGTTAATTTATCTTTTGACAGGATTCCACTGTTTTAAGTAAGAAATTCTGCTGTAAAAGCAAGGCTTCTACTAAAAATATACACCAAATTTGATGTGAAAAAAAATCCATAGCACTAATGTATTAAAAAAATCTAGGGGATTTTAGTTTATTTATTTTTCTACTACTCATGTGTAGGTTGGAATTACTAACTTTGGTTTGGTTTTGGAGGGGGAGTTTAAATTCATTTACTCATTTTATTCCTCTCCTCCCCCCCAAAATAGATATAAAAGCTTCATATATAGCCTAACAATTTGTTATCTGAATAATCTGTGAAATATCACCATTATGCTTTATTGATTCAATACAGTGGGCTGGAACACTGCCTTATAGGACATTTGAAAACCATGGATTATCAAGTAACTTAAGAAATATCTGTTTAGCTTTCCCATTACATTTAATAAAATTTCAAAAACTCAAAAGACTTAAGCTCATGTAAACTCTTGCTCCCACAATTCATAGGCAGGATACACACTTCTACGCTCTCAGGCACCATCAGTTGGTCTAGCATGTAAATCAGCTCCCTGTCCATCAACTAAGTTAACTCATTCCAACAAAGCTTTTGGTGTTGTTGTTAATAAGGTCAAGAAGGACATCAGTTATGAACAACTAATTTCCATATAATTATATTTAATGTAGAACTGGTTTCATACATTTACTGATCAGAATAACCAAATTATTACTAGAAACACATAAGATAAGCCTACATTAAATAGCTCTGTGTGTGTATCACTAGACTTGTGCATGCATTTTCAAATATTTTACATTACTCCAATGTTCATAGAATTAATGGTATTGGGTGATTTACAGCAACTCAGTTTGAGGTCTGAACTGTTCTTACCTGGATTAAATATGCCATCACCCTCTTCCCAGCCTATGAACTCAATCATTTTCTTGATGACTGCTTCTTCCACCAAAAGAAACACAGGGGATACTTCATATGTATATCTGAACAAAAAGAAAAGCATCAAAATTGGTATTAAAACCACAGAATTGGTATTAAAAACACAGAACTCAAGCCAAAGAGTCTTGCTAAAACTTCTTGCACCTCTTTTTAATCTATCAGTAGCTGACCACCATCAGCAGTAGAACTCTAAAGTATAAACATTATGCATCTGACCCAGTAGAGCAATTGCTTAGTTCCTGACAGCATCACATTGACACTTCCACTCTCAAAGTAATACATCAGAGATTGCTTTTAATGTAGGTCACATGCTTAAATTTCAGCTTTACATTTGCAAGTAAACAGTAGACAGATAACCATTTGCACTCAACTCTGTGCAGAATGCCTCAAAGGGTATGATCAATTAAGTCCGATTAATTCATTTTTATGTACTAAGATAAAAATCTACATTTAAAAGCATTAAAAAAAAAAATTCTCTCCTATGAAACCCCACCTCACAAACAATGAAAAAAGGCCTCATCAGATTTGTCAACCTTCTGGTGAGCTATTCATCCAATCTGAATCAGACCCTTTTCTCTCCCAAATTCTTGCACAATTCCTACCTCTCCTGTAATACTGAAAACAGAAATCAGAAGCAAGGATGCAAAAACAGCTGTTGTTCCAAAAATTACACTAATTCATCATCAAGAGGACAAAGAACCACACTTACACACTTGGGTTCAGTGCTTCTGTAATAAAACGAGCCACTAACGAGTAATAATCTATTCCAGCGTAGAGCTGATTAAAAAATCTTGGATGACCTGAAAATACAGATCAAAAGCAAGTGACAGGATACACAAGAAAAAAGAATACATCACAGTCCCTCTGAGCTGAATGACAATCACTGCAAACCACAATTCACCCCATTCTCTCAGTATTCTCTGGATTCACTGTCCTTTTCTTAGGTTAGACAATCCTTTGAAAGTAAACTTAATAAGCACTTTCAAACCTCAGAAGTCTTGAGAGGTGCAAGTGGTGCCCAGAATGAATGCAAGTTGTTCACTAGTTTTAAAAATAAAAAAAAAAAAGAAAAGGGATTGACAACTCAGCAGCTTTAAACAGTGGTTTTGAGAGGCCACAATGGATGTTCAGCCAAATTTTGCTAAGCAGTACAATATAGGAACTTGCTGATTCCAGACAGCTATGCCTGTGCTCCCACCAAAGTCTTTATACAGGGAGAGAGAAGGAAAATAACAGCTTGGAAAAACTTGCTGCACACTTAAAATGAAAAGTTAAGAGAATTTGTTTACCTCCCTTGAAATGCTGAGATATAACTAATTATGACAAAATTTTATACTATTACTGACTATAGAAACAAGTCAGTTCAACAGTGGGATCACCACCTAAATTTTAATCCACAGCACACTATTTTTACATGCAAAACTGGGTAAACTGTATGGCTCCATTTATATTATATCTGGAGCCTCAATAAATGTCTCTACTTATATTAAAGACGATTTGCACAACGTACTTTTATATACAACATCCTTTCTAAGGTAACACAGTGAGACAAATTATAATCCAAAGGCAATTTACAGAAGTGAGATAAACAGAACATTTTCCAGTATCTCACTAATTATATCTGCATATTATTAATGCATTCCTCCTGCAGATCAGTAGTGCTACTCTTCTACGGTTTTCAAAGGCAAGAGTTCATTCTCAAAATTATTTTACCATTTTACTTTGTAGCAACAGTGACTGCAGCAGGGACTGTGACCTCAAAATGCACAACTAACTGTATCAAACGTCCTTCTCACTTTCCAAAACACAGCTTAAGCCATACCACACATTAAATCCTGAGCTACTGATTCACAGCAGTATTTCCTAAACGTATGTTGTTCATTCTTTTTGCTAGGATTGAATTATCCTACACATGCTGCAGAAAGGTTAGAGAACTGAGAGAGAACTAGAGGTTCTGTAGAGAACTAATCCTGCAGAGATGTGGCATACTGTCTCTGAAACACTGCAGTCTCTCTTCTCACAGGGTCTGGATCAGGAATTACTGCCTATCAGCAAATTAACACCCTACAAGACTATTGCTCAAAAAGAACAATAATAAATGGGGGGTAATCACGAGGGCAGTGATGGTGACTCCAAATCTCATCACTCAGACAGCAGGAAATGACATACAAAGGCCCTTCTCCTGCCTGTTTTGCTAGACTGTTATATGATACTTGTCTTGGTGACTTTCATAAGACTTTAAAATGACAGAATCTACCATTAATGCCAATGACATTACATTAATTAGTTTTTTATTAGCTTGCCATTATTACACATTTTAGTCAAACCTGTGGTGACCAGCATTCAGTCAAACAACACAAACAAGACCAAGTGTTTGCATACTTGTATAGGCAAGCAGAAAGCAAACATTCACACCCTCGGTTCCCTGAAAGGTGAACAGAGGTTTGTAAACATTATCCTGTCTTCCTAAGTTAGCATACAAAATAACTCCATTAGAAATCACATTCCTACTGGTTTTGACGCTGTATCGTATAACATCCCGGCAGAGTTGCAGGAGTTTCTGGTGACATTCTCCAGTGTCTCTCATTTCCAGGTCAAGAATCTGTTTAAGAGTTTCAGGGGCTTGCCATTCACAGACCTAGTGATGGGGAGGGGGCAGACACCATCAGTGAACAGGTTTGTCAGGAGGAAGAGGTTATAAAGGTACAAGGTAAGAACCACATTCAGAACTGCTTTCACAAAACTTCCCTTTGCAGGGTAATATATATTATATATCGTAAACTGGTCTCATGGGATGTTGGTTTTATTGCGTCTCAGGCATTGCTCAACCATAAAAATGAGAGTGGAGAATGCTAGAAGGCAGAACAGAAAGAGGCCTGCAGCTCAAGTTCTATCCTTTAGCTAAGGATTTGTAATCACAGCATTTTCAGATGCTGTTCTGCCAAAGGGTGGGAGCAACCAGTACATGTCCAAAGGCAAGCACAGTTTATTTGCAGGTCCTCTTCCCATACAGCCCCTTAAGCACGGGTTCTACAAAACCCAGAACAATCTCATAATGTTGCCCTTTCACAGCGATACCAAATCCACTGTTCCTCCTTCTCCAACACCATTGCCCCTGAGGAGCAAACAAATAACTCACCTCCACCTCAAACAAGAAAAACACTACAGCCATTTGTGATCACATAGAAGATGACCACTGTACTCTCAGATAAAAAAAAAAACCCACCCTCATTACTTTCTGGCAGATATTTATGGTAACTATATTATTGAAAGCTTTTATAATATATTCTTTTTTCATTTCTAAGGCTGTCTTTTTATTTCAGAGCCAGGTATAGACTACAGGCAAAGAGGCTACTGAAAGTGCAATAAAATACAGCTTATAAAAAAAATTGATTTATTGTTCATTATCGCCATTACAAATTCCCAACAAGACTTTATTGCTTTACCTTTTCTGTTACATCATCAGCTTTCTGGATAACTTCTTCCATTATAATCTTACACGCCTCTTCCACAAACTTCTCTCCTGCTTTTGAGTCCATTATTGGACCATTTAGGATGACCCCATCCACCAAAACAGCATTCTTCTTCTGGAGCATCTCCTGTTTGCAAACACCAACTGTAAGGTGAAAAACTCATCATTAGAGCAAGGCCTGGATAACTAAATAATAAACAACAAAAAAAATTCTTTCATTGCTGAAGATTTAGTAAACTTAAATAAAAACTCACATGGGACTTTTACAAAATCCTATATTTTAGTGGAAGAATCTTTGCAGATAAAAGAAAAAAATTATGTGTTATTTCAAAACTAGACCATTATTCTGTAGGTAATAATAACCTAGTGTATTGTATCTACTGCCTCCTGTGGCATGCAAGAAACCTTCCAAACACAGAGGAAAATACAGTTCTGGCTTAGAATATGTTACAGCTGGATAAACAGAAATACAGTGAAAGGTAATGGGCATTTTTCTTAGCTGAAAATGTTTCCCTCCACATGCCATCCCTTCTGCTCCCCTTTTTTCATGAAATAATTTCCAGCTTCATTTCCTGTATCTTTGTGCTACTCCTTCTCACCAGCCAGTTCTCTTGCTCTGAGTCTTCTGCATTCTTTGCAAAGTGCTTCACTGACCCATACTCTATGAAAAAAAAAGCTTTTGAGATTGCTGTCAATATCACATACCTGTACTCCTTTCTGCCCTTATCCTATTAAGAGCCCTCAGTCACTAATTACAGTAATCTACTAGGCAGATTATCTTGTTCATTCGCTTCTCCAATGATGATCTCTTTCCTTTCCCTCCCCTCCCCTTTACCCACGTACTCTCTAGATGTGTTTCATATGCACATTGCTACTTCCTCCTTTACATTACTTCTGAAAGCACATCCAAGATACTTATAAGACACTGGCCAATAGTGACAACTACGTATCTATTTCATGTATTGATTTCATATGGCAAGATCAGGACTCCAGTTTTCATCAACATGAGGATGAAGATGAAAGTGAGACATTTAGAGATATCAAGGGAACAGACATTTGAAACAGTATAGCGCTGAAAGGAGAAGCGGTAACTACCACAGCCAAATTATCTGGGTTACAGACAGTATCTGTTCACTTAGAATAGCTAGTATCTGTTGCCTTAGAATAGCTAAGGTCTATAAAGCCAGGCAGCACTACCATGAAAAGTTGTCTTCATCTACAGTGAGGATGGTGGAAGGCTGTGATGTACAGAGAAAGCTCCGTGCCCAAAACAACTTTATCTTCTGCTTTACTTTTTGCTCCAGTTAGAAAGTACAGAAGACAGATGCCTTTTTCACAGGTCTAAATAAACAACACTTTTCCAGAAGACTGCTAGATACTGCAGTCTGACACATTCATCATTTTTATCACAATTACAGCTCCTCATGCACAGGAGGATATAGAAGAACAACAGCGCTACTTAGAAAAGTTCATCATTTCAAGGTCCATTGATTAAAAGAAACTCTGTCAATCCCATGACTTTTTGCTTTCTGAGAACTCAGAAAAGCTGTTCAGTTCACTTTGACTTATCAGGAGAGATATGACAAACAAGACAAAACTCTAACATGAGATGGGACCTCAGGCTTCCCACAGTGCTGCCAACAAAAATGAGACACATGCAGATGCATTTCTGAAATTACTTCTATTTTTAATCCAAATGGGCAATATACTAAATTTTGCTGAACAGAGTAGCCTTCAGCACATTGTTACAGGATAGACATAAATGTTCTTATGGGACAGATAGTGAACAAGTAGGTAAACAGTATTAAATCTTTAACAGGCAAAGAGGGAAAATCACAGACATCAAAAATGTCAATTCTCATCATGCTTTCCAGAACACCACAGCAGAGGCACTGTAAAGAAACTGCAGCTTTGAAAAAGTCTTAGAGGTTTCTCTCTGAAAACGCAAGCTAGTAGGTCAACTTTGCAAGACTTGAAACACCAAGTATTACCAAGGAATTTGAAGGCATGAGGTCTTTGGGCAGACAGAGCAGAGACCATTTGTGAACTGAGAGTTAGTTATTTGATGCATAAATAGCTACCTAAGTGCTATCCAGGTTTAACATAAACACTAGAAAAAATTTCAGCCTTAACATCACCTGGAGATGCTATCATCTTTATTTATGCCAAAGGTGTTTTGTTGCTATGAAACAACAACAAAAAAATAAGACAGGATCTAAAAAAAAATATACAGGAGACGTATATCTATCACAACGCCCAGATGTTGATACTTCCTTTGGCTATAAGAACAGTAGACAGTGGAGCAAGAGAACTCATTAACTCCTTTTTTTTTTTCTGCTCCCCCTCTCAGGTCTCTGGTAGAACCAGAGCAGTGCAAAAGGTTTATATTGGTAATGCCATCATCCCTGTTCCTGTCATTTTCGCACAGACGTAAAAGTACTTCCATGCCAGTGATCTTTTTCCAGGAATTCTGTGAAAAGCAAAAGCAGAACTTTACATTAGTACCGTGTCTCTAGGGGGTTGGGTGATAGGTCTGACATCTCCCTATTTGAAGCAAGTCTGCTCACCTCTACACAAAGTTTTACAGTCTCCCTAGGACACTTTGTGGATCCTGAGGAAGAAGATATGCTCTGAAAAATGGGTAGACTTTCAGGTAGACTATCATCCTAGTCCCCACATCTGTGTTGGTACTAAGGCACAGTCCATGGAAGAGAAAGGCAAAGCAGAGAGGTTAGAAGGAAGGGATGAAAGAGAGCCTTCATTTCAACAGAATTTTACCTGTGCAAAGCTGCAGCAAAGAGTTCATGACTTAGCCCATATTTTATTTCCTGGAATAATACTCCTTGTAATTATTTATCACTTTCTCAATAATTTTTCGGTTATCACTTATTTCAATCTGAACTTTCTGAGCTAAATTCTGCCCTGGAACATACTATAAGACCTTTACTTGAAATTAACAGAAAACTATTTCACAATTAGCATTTAAATCAACCCCCAAACACATGCATATTTTGAGGTACAGGTCTTCAGGTTTTGCAAAGCACTCCTGGATGTATACAGTATTCCCATATCATGATTTTTCTGCAAATGCCATGATACTTAATCTTCTACTTATAACTGTCTGACGTCTGGAGTTCTTACGAAATTTCCAAATTATTGTTTCCTCTTGGTTGCAGTAAAACCCTGAAGAAGAAAACTAAGTAGATGATGAATATCTGAAATTCCATAACATTTTTTCTTTTTATCACATTTTTTAAAAGAGTCAATGACCAATTTATTATGTTTTAGATAGGTGAACCCCCAAAAAGGTTCTAGGTTCACTTTTTATGTCACAGTATCCAAGTTAAATAGCAAGCTTTTAACATCAGCTCAGAGCTCAGCATCCAAGCTAAGAAACATACACTATTTTTATGAGGTGATAATACATGTTGCCTCTTTTAAAAAATCATTATCAAATGCTCAAAACATTATTTTCCAAGAATTTTAGGGCTTTTATATATCTGACTCAAACACTCCTGATTGCACTAAAGGAACACATTCTGCATGAAGCCCATTTCATAGAAACAGCATCTCATTACATATACCTCTCTTGTTTTCAGACATGATAGGGAAACAATCTAGAGATGGGGCTGCAACAAATATGTTCTTTTCTACTTGAGAATACAGAAACAGACTCCTAAGCAGACTCAGAAAACAGACTTCCAGAAAATATATCAAACACAATTTCAGCCAAATGGCTCCAGGCTTGAAACAGAACTAAAACTTTACCAAATGGAAGTGCTTTAAACCAGAGATTAAAGATTATTGTCTGTTCAAGATATCCTTCTGCAAAACAGAAGACTCAATCCTGCTTCAATTGAAGGCAATTGGGCATTCAGCCACTGGCTTCAGCAGCAGGAAAATCAAGCTCGTAATTCCCACATTTCATCCTGAAAGAAATATTCTATTACAGAAGCCTAAGAATATCCAACCAGCATTTCATTTTTACAATCAATACTATTTTCCCAGCAGAAAACATAAACTAATTGGAGTTGGAATAATGTACAGAAAAAATAAACACTTTTTCAGATGTTTCTGTATCTTTATGTAAGCACTACCAAGTATTTTAAAAGCTGCATCTGTGCTTCCATATTTGACTGCTAAATCCTTGCACTACAAAAAGAAACTGAAGCATTGTACTTGGCCCATTTTAACAACATATTGTAATAACATTTGGGAAAGTAGCATGAGATGACCAGAAAGATTTATTGCTCACAAGGAAAACGAGGAAACAGAGGGGGGTTGTTGTGAAAGAGCAGCTTATGCTTGGATGCCAGGGCCAAATCCTGTCAGTTTACACTGTATTAGCACCACTGACTATTCAAGGGAATGCAAAAAGCTGCCTTTGATCAAAGGCTTATTTCTGTTTTGTAACAAATGCAGTAATAATTGCAAGCATTAATCAGAAACTAATTTTAAATTTCACGTTCTGTATGATCTAGTCATGGATAATCTTTCAGAAGACTTCAGTATTTTCCTTCAGTGTGTCCAGCAAAAGAAAAGAATTAAATTCAGTGTCAAGGCTCCACACCACCATGTTTAATGAATTACTGTGGCACCATATCATGTATCAAAGCATTAAAACACAAACCTATGCACCTATGTCCCACACTATGTAGCAATTTCAGTCCCTTGGTATTTATAATCTTTAAAGACATATCTGTTTCTTTAATCACTGCTTTCTGTACATATGAATGAAGTAAAGCCACTTCAGCCTTAACACAAAAATACATTGCTTCTTAGTAAAGGAGATGCAGGTTTCTTATAATCCAACATATTAAATCACTTAGTGTCTTGGCAAAGCTATCCATACAAAAAAAAAAAAAAAGAAAAGAAAAACAAACAAAAAGAAGTAGGCATAGGTATGGTAGGGCTCTTGCAATTCCCCCTGAATTATATATTCCTGTTTTGCAGGTTTATGGACCAGGCCTGTGGACAGGGAACAAGTTGGGTGTTTCCCCTCAGAAGGGCTGCAAGAGTCCCCTCCCACAGGAATCCTATGACTGCGAAAAGGCAGATGTGACCTTTATAGATCAGGACCCAAGGAAAACAGAAGTGCTTCTGTATGGGCTCAGAAGCCCCTGAATAGACTCATTGAGAACACT